AAGGGAATAAAACACAGGAATCTCTGATGTTCTCCTGATACATATTTTCCCCCTGTGAGAGATCCCATGTGAAAAAGATATGATCCTGTAAACCTTGTGAATCACGAAACATCTCTTCCTGCACCCCACGCACTTCAGCTCTGGGTTACTCTGGTGCAGTTACACAAAAGCCCCAGTGATAAGATGTCTGCAACTGGAAGCTAGTCTCAGAACAAGAAAGCAGCATCTTCGGTACAGCTGGGGAGAAAAAAATTCTCTCATCCCACAAGAATTTTGAAAATAAACTCTGATAAATTTTCATGAACTCAGCCCCCCAGCTGTTATTAGATTGGATCTGAAGTGTTTTATTTCAATATGAAAATAATCGAACAAGCTATTTTTTCTTATGGTGTACGAATGTAAATTATACTTAATTTCTAAATGATACTGCTTAGACCTGAAACTGCAACCTTTTCCGTTTTGGAAATTTTAAAAGAGGATGCTCTAACACCTTTGAAAGAAAACTATCTGTAAAGATTACTTAATTAAATCAAAAGTAATCTTCTCCTCCGAAAAGCTGAGGTTTCATCAGATGAGCATTTTCTAAGGGAAAGCATTGTTTTGAAAATCCCAACTAGCTTCAATTCCTGGCATTAGCTGAAGATAGAAAGACAAAATAAAGTCTATCTGCATTATCCATTGACATCCACCCTATTTTGATAGAGGCTACAACTTATCCCATTCAGTTCCCATACAGTTTTCAACAGCAAATGGGCAGTCCCAGCAGAGCAATCCTGTCAGGACTGGGGAACGGTAGTTCTCTCTCTCGACAAACTTGTTAACATGAGAGATTCTCCACTCTGGTGGAGGTGCAGTGATGCCTAAACATTTGATGAGGTATTTTGCATCTTGAAAAGCAGTACCAAGCAGATGCGATTTAAAGCAAAAACTCCTCAAGTTCATGGACAAGCATTTGTCCGGTCCCCACATAAACCATCAGCTGTCTCATCTAAGCACAAACTCAAGCATAATGAATTGTGTAAAGAAGCTTTGATCTGCTATTCAGTCAAATAGCATTCACAAGCTGCAGACAAGATATAATTCTGTATGTACATATGGTAAAACTCATTCTTAAGCAAAGAACCAGTTGACATGCATCAACTTAAATCCAAAGCTTTAATGCAACTTACAGGCTTTACCGCAACTTCCTCCACAGTTATTCTCTATACCGCTATTTCTCGTCCGCTTTTTCTGACACATTTTCACACAAGGACCACAAGCTTACCTGGTCCTAGCTTAGAAACAGCATAAAGGAGGTCATAGTTGATGACAGGTGTTGCATCATCTATGGGTTGCCACCCTACAGGTGGGGAGGCTGGAGGCGAGATGAGAAACTGTTTCGCAGGCTGTGGTGGTGCCAAATGAAGCTTGTCTCCATCTGTCTCAGAGGTCTGAATCTTTAAAGCATAACAAATACATTGTTTAGTATAGGATGGGTAAATGGAATGATTACTCAAATCATACACTTCTAATACCAAATGCCACCCAGGCAGGGTTTCAGCGTCAGTCTCAGCAGAGAAGGCCTGGAGATGAGTTTCATCTCAACCTTACAGATGGTTCTTCTACAGTAAATACACTGTGGGGAGCTGTTATATGAGCAAAGCTACAATGTTTGTGCCTATTGTATATGTTCTCTGAGGATAAATGTAAAGCTTTGGTATCCACAGCTGCTACTTCAGAGATTTTCGAGGCTGAAAAGATATTGTTGTGATCTACTGGCCTAAACTCCTAAATAAAAACAGACATTAGACAAGAAACCAGTAACTCCTGCACCAAAGCCTTATCAGTAACTTCAGAAAGGTTTCTAAGATTTGGTTTCTTTAGCTGAAGCGATGAAAGAATCTATCACGTTCCTTAGTAATTTGCAACTAATTGTTCTCATTTTATTTCCATCTTAAATGATGTAGTTTAATTCCTGCTTTTTTCTGCTATATTAAAGAAGTCTCAACAGAAATGAATTCTACTACAGCCATACCTGAGCAAGGTTACAACCAGTTCAAGCCCAAAAGCAATAAACTGCATTTGCATGACAGCAAGCCTGAGCTAGCACCCTGCTATACCACAGTGGGTTTTGCAAAGAGCCAGTTCGGGTCTCTCAACTCCATGTTCCCCAGAACTTCTAGTTCTGGAAGTGCTTATTCAGCCTGGATCAGGTCTGTATAAACATACACTGCTCCAGACACTGTGCCGCTTCCACATATTCTTTCCCTGGACACAACCAATAAGCTCTTTTAAGACTGCATGTACTGGAGAGCATAGTGCAGATACCTAAACGGCTTTGCAGGAAATCAGCTTAGATATGGAGACTAATCACTATTATGCACATTTTTCTTTTTCTTGTGTTATCCCAAGTTTCCTATTAACCTCTTGATTGTGCAGTTAGACTGAAATGATTCTCAGGTCTGCTTAACAGCAGGTTTTGAAACCTTTCAGAAAAAAATCAGAGCCAGATCTAGGAGATTAAGGCATATAAAATGGGACTGAGGTAGATTGTCAACACCTAAATCCAGCTGTAAGATCTTCTGAACTCATCTAACCCATTAAGCATATTGTTTTTTTCACAGCTCTAGTTTCCCATCTTCCTCGGGTTCTGCTTCTGCCTAGGCTCTAAACAGCTCCTAATCTGGCCAGGCTGTAGAGGCTCAAAATTTCACTGCCTCTTAGGCGTGACTGATAGCTTCAAATGAGCCTGCCCTTAACCTAAGACCTCTGAAGGACCCATGTGGCAGCTTAAAGCGCACTTATGTTGCTTATAAGCACTAGTGAGTACCCCGTAAGCCACAGGGGCCACAGCAATTTATTAAAATACATTCAGAAGAGGTGGTGGTCAGGTTCTCAACCTCCTTCACCTTTCTATATCCTGGCCGGGGCTGTGGGACATGTGGGTTCTCTCACCCCAAGAAGAATTGAAACCCCCATCTGACACTTCCAACAGATGGATATAACCCCCTATGCCCCCAGGCTGGGGGTATTCTTCTCCCCCTACCTTCTCCCTTTTACTTGAACTTACTGAATTCCTTTTAGAAACTTTGAACATGTATTCAGTAAGAAAAAAAAAAAAAAAAGGCAGGAGGAAGCCTGACTGTGGCTTAGGGTTGCAGTCAAATAAGTAATTCAGCCCTATTTTTTTAATGAACTTATGATACTTTACATTAGTGCTTTTTTTATGGCTAGTTTAGAGAGTTACTCACAGAAAATACTCCATGTTGTAAATCAGTTCTAAGCTATGTAACTTCTGTGTGCTGAATAAGCAACTTGGGTCCTAAGTGGTCCTTTAAATTTACTGCAGACCCACTGGGCAGCTGCAGCTCAGGCAACCTAAGGATGTCTGAGTAATCTTTTAGCAGAGAGACTGGGAGAAACCTTTATTACTTTTATTCAGTGCTACTGTGCAGTATTTCGATAAAAGCTATGCACTAACATAGAAGTAGATACCAGATTTCATTACCTGTGCAAAATACAACTTTAGCTTCTTCCCTCTGAACTGTGTTTCATGCAGCTCTATTCTGGCACGAGCAGCTGATTTGGGACTACTAAAATTTATCCGCACACGCCTGAAGCTTTTAAAGAGCTGGAATGTCACACAGTCATCATAGGCACGGAACAAGCCTTCAAATTTTTCCTGCAAATGAAAAAGAAATAATGCTGAAGATTAACTTTGTGCTCTGTCACATTAGACTGGTCAAAGGATAGTCTGAAACTTGATGACAACTGTTTAACCAGGAGGTTTCAGCCTGTGGCCTTTGGGGGTGCGTGTCCATAGAGTAAAAAAGGCTCTGTGAAAACAAACTAAGGAAAGCGCTGGTCTGGAAGTGCTGA